CATCATTGTTTGGCGGGCCCAGGCTGGGGATTCAAACCTGCCACCTTAGGTGTATGTGGCTGGTGCCTTAGCCACTTGAACCACATGCGCCAAGCCAGCACACCCCACTTTATTGGTATCCAAGAGAAGGAAGAGACAGGTGTAAGAACTAAGACTAAGGATTAGAACCTGCCACCTTAGCTGCACGTGGCTGGCGCCTTAGCCACTTGAGCCACAGGTGCCGAGCCTGTTTGTTTTTTAGCAACAGGGTCTCTTTCTGTCACCTAGGCTTGAGTACAGTGGCCCAGTCCCAGCTCACTACTGGAATTCCCGGGCTCAAGCTATCCCCTTGTCTCGGCCTCTCAAAGTGCTGGGACTACAGGCACTTCTGTCCTTTTCTGAGGCTTTTGCTTTACTTCTCTGTCTCTGCTTCTGTCTACAGCTCACTCTCTTTTTTCTGAGATGTGAGTTCTGGAATAAATCCTCTGCCTCTGATGAACTTGAGCTAAAAAGGAAACCTGCCCAAGGCTTAGTGTACCTATCTTAATACCACCTGCTTCCCAGAGTTGTTGCCACCCTAAATGACCTGACCAGTGCCACTATTATTAAGCCATTTTTCTTTTTCTTCCCCTGCCCTCACTATTCTGCCTCCCTCTTCCCCTCGGGTCTTATCTAATTCTTCCTTAGGAGGCTTCCTTTTCTGACTTCCTATTTTCCGCCACCTCTATCTCCTCTCTCCCTCCTGCAGCTTCCCTTGCCTGGGCCTTGCTTCTGTCTTTCTACCCACACCCTCCTTTGAGTTTGTTTCTCCACCACTGTTTTCCTTAAGCCTTTTGCTTTTCTTGTCTGAGTTCTTTCTCCCTTCTGGACTCTGCTTCCCTGCCTCTACCCTCATTTTCTGTCCTTCTCTCCAGCTGTGTTGTTTACCTCTTGTCTTTCCCAATAAACCTACTGGGTGCTGGATCCAGGTTGGGGAGAGAAGGGGGAGCCACTTACCATGAGAGTCTGTGCCAGGCCTCTTGCTGAGGTGGGGGTTGGTGCTCACACCAGGGAAGTCTGGGTGAAAGCCTGGGAGCTGCTAGCACTTTATTTTCCTCCCACCCCCTCAGTTCTCAGAGATAGGGAGCAGGGTTCTCACCAACAGGGGACAGGCCAGGACTTGAGCTTGTCTCTCCCATGCCTGGCCTGCAACTTCTTCACATCGCTCTGCCCTCTTTGGCTCTTGCACACTCTGATCTCCCAACTTGGGGAACTCCAAGATTCTCTTGGCCCTGCTCCAAGCACCCCTACAGAGGCAGGCTCCCCTCCCCCAGAGCTGAGTGAGAAGGGGAAGGGTCAGCCAGCTAGATGCAGGGGCCTAGTCGGCTGGGCCTGCTGCTGACTCACCGTATGTTCAGGCACTGAAGCAGTGCCCTCTCAGACCCTCTTTCCCCTACTTTCTCCAGATGTCAGTAAGAGAGGCATAGCTTCCATTTGAAGAGCTGAACGATGAAGAGCTAAATCTTAAACACGAGGCTTGGTGGCTCACACCTGTAATCCTAGCACTCTGGGAGGCTGACACAAAAGGATCCCTTAAACTCAAGAGTTCAAGATCAGCCTGAGCAAGAGCCAAACCTTATCTCAACTAGAAATAGAAAAAATTAACTGGGTGTGGTGGGCACATGCCTATAGTCCCAGAAGCAGGAGGATCACTTGAGCCCAGGATTTTGAGGTTGCTGTGAGCTAGAAGGGGCCATGATACTCTAGCCCAGGATATAGAGTGAGTCTCTATCTTTTTTTTTTGGAGACAGAGTGTCACTTTGTTGCCCTCAGTAGAGTGCAGTGGCATCACAGCTCACAGCAACCTCCAACTCTTGGGTTTAGGCAATTCTCTTGCCTCAGCCTCCCAGGTAGCTGGGACTACAGGCCCCCACCACAATGTCCAGCTATTTTTTTGTTGTTGCAGTTTGGCCAGGGCCAGGTTCAGACCCTGCACCCTCTGTATATGGGGCCAGCGCCCTACTCACTGAGCCACAGGCGCCTCTGATGAGTGCCTTAAATAAAAAAAAGAATAAAGAAAAGCTGACTCTTGATTTTCACATCTGAGTACTTCTCAGCAGAGGGGTGTGAGAATAAAGCCTGCCAGGGGTGCCATAGAGTCAGGGCTGACTTCAGTAGGGATACAGAGACACAGCCAGGAGTCTGGGAAGGGGAGGGACAAAGAGCATCCCCTTGGCCCCTCACTGAGTTTTTGTGTTTCTGTCTCAGTTCTTGGTGTGCTCTTGGCTAAAGAATGACCAGACCCACCAAAGTAAGGCCAGTGTGAAACAAAATTTATTGAGAAAGAGAAAGATAGGTGTACAGAGCACGATACAAGGTTACAGAGCAAATATGTTCACCACAGGCCTGTACATGCTCCCTTGCTATAGCAAAAAGGCCTTGGTTATGGTCTGGGGTCCCGTTTTATTGTCTGGGTGGGGACTTCTCTTGGTTCAGACATTATCATGGAACCATTTGATGGACAATTGAGGACAAGATAATTAGCTCTAACCACTTTCCAAGTCCTATTGTTCCCAGGCTGTATGGCTAGCAGGGTGTCCCTACTTCCCCAGGTATATCAGCTAGTTGCTCTGGAAAAGTGGGACAGTACTAAGACACTGAGACAGGCCCCAACCCTGTCCTTCCTTCCAGGTGGGGCCATCACTCAGGGCAGCACTGAGGCAAAGCACCAAGAGTCTTGGAGGCCCCTTGCTCTCTATCTAACATTT